TCAGTCTTGAAGGGTCTAGTAGAAACCCTTCCCCATCTTGAATACAAGCCCCTTCTATCCCTTGCTTTTCCTGCCTTGCTGTTCTGGTTTCCACGGTCTCATCCGGAGGACTCCTTTCCTCTGCTATAGCACGTGCCCTGTGGACACCCTGCCTGGCAGCCCTTCTACACTTCCAGGGCCACAGGGGTCTTGAAGGTACTCTCCTCGACAATCCCCTGCTTCCTCCCGGCTCTTCTTCTCAACCTTTCCGCGTCCAGGCACAGCCGTGCTGTGGAAGGCGACAAGCCCCACTCTTTTCTCAATTCCCAAAGTACCAGGCTCCCTGTTTCTACGCGCTAGTTTCCCCCGCCTACCTCGTGTCCTACGCTAGGAGACCCCTGCCCGGGCCATCCTGGCACCCTAAAATCCGCTGCTCGGCCCAAGTCTCTCTGTGACGCCCCGAACAAGCCCCTCAACATTTTAGTGCCTCCTCGACGACCGTGTGTGCAACTTATGCCCTCTGGAAGAACCCTATGAAGGGCCAGTTCCTTGCTCAGGCTCATTAGAGACCAAGAGTCGTAACTGAAGATGGACCGCCCCACCGCGCTTGTGCGGAAGTCGAGGCTGTCGGGAAGCCGGAAGCCAGTGGGCGACTACACGTCCCAGGGTTCACTGCGCCAGGAAAAAGGCGTCCTCTGGCTCCGCCCCGGAAGATAAATCGGCTAGTGGCCCAAGTGTTTCCTCTTTCGGCCAAGCTCGGGAATAGGTAGGTTGTATGTTCGACCCCGCGGCCTTGGGTGTATCTGTCGCCATCCGCAGCTCTAGGTCACGATAGGGATAGCCGTGCACCTAAGATACTCTTCGGAGATGGCGCCGGTGCGCAAGCCCTGGAATAGGGCGTGGTGGGGCCGGGATGGGGGTGCGTGGGATCCGTGGGGCAGGTCCCGGGAAGCTGGGCCGGCGGGGCCTTTTCCCACCGGACCGGACGCTGACAGTGAGCTGCCCTTAGACCTGCCGCCATGGGCCGCGTGATCCGTGGACAGAGAAAGGGTGCTGGCTCTGTGTTTCGCGCGCACGTGAAGCATCGTAAGGGCGCTGCTCGTCTACGCGCCGTGGACTTCGCAGAGCGGCACGGCTACATCAAGGGCATCGTGAAGGTACGAGGAGCCAGCCGGGGCGGGTGAGGAAACGGGACGTCCCGGTAAGGCCCCGCGCTGACGCTTTCCCTATCCGCAGGACATTATCCACGACCCAGGCCGTGGCGCGCCACTTGCCAAGGTGGTCTTCCGGGATCCGTACCGATTCAAGAAGCGTACGGAGTTGTTCATCGCCGCTGAGGGCATCCACACGGGCCAATTCGTGTATTGCGGCAAGAAGGGTGAGCTTTGTGGTCGGGAAGGAAGGGCAAACGGAGCGGGATGGGGGTGTTCAAAAAGCGCACAGCCTGCGCCTGGATAAGAACTTCCTGGGTGGAAGCTTCGCGTGGGGAGATGTGCATAGCAGGAAGAGTACCTGTTCAGGTTTCCAGAAAGTTGTGTGCAGCCATGCTCATCTGTTCTGGACTGTTTCAAGTGGGTTCATATTTCCATTGGTTGCATTGACCATCTGGTACTGCTTTTCCTGGCAGCCCAACTCAACATTGGCAATGTTCTTCCTGTGGGCACCATGCCTGAGGGTACCATCGTATGCTGCCTGGAGGAGAAGCCTGGGGACCGTGGCAAGCTAGCCCGAGCCTCTGGGAACTATGCCACAGTCATTTCCCACAACCCTGAAACCAAAAAGACCCGTGTGAAGCTGCCCTCGGGTTCCAAGAAGGTCATCTCTTCTGCCAACAGAGCTGTTGTTGGTGAGTGCCATACCGTGCTCTCGTGGGTGACGAGACTATAAGCTGCAGTGCACTGTCGCTTGGCAAGGTCCCTGACTTTAGGTCTTGTAAATTTAAATAGTCTTGAGTTGTCATAACAGGGCAAGATATTTGACTTTATCAAGTGATTTTGTCTTTGTTTGTTTTTGGTACTAGGGATCAAACTCATGACCTTGTGCTGGTGAGGCAGGTGGTGGCACCACTGAGCTAAATCCCCGGTCCTAAGTGATTTTGTTGTTGAGCAACACCACAGAATCTTTCCTAAATCCATTCCAGCACAAACTGTTTTGAGGATGTGTTTACAGAATAAGCACAGCTGCAGTGCAGTGGTCTTGGTCAGTTGTGCTGGAATTTTCAGAGGCCAGGTGATTTGCTCTGCTCTTATGTCTCAAGACGAAATGATGAAGGTGGCTTGCTTACCCGGGTATTTGAGTTTTGCCACTGTCGTTTATGATGGGGATGAGGGCAGCGCACAGGTTTCAAGGACTCTAGAGTGGAGGCTGGTGGGCTTTCTTTTGGTGTTAGTGTTGAAGTACTGTGACTCTTGGATGATGCATATGACCAAGTCTAAGTTGAGTGATTAGCAAAAGAGAGTGGGGCATTAGCAAGCACTCAGCTGGGTATATTCTTACGGGAGGGCCTGTGGTATACATCTCTGAGGTGCCCCATCTTCTCTATAGGTGTAGTAGCTGGTGGTGGCAGAATTGATAAACCTATCTTGAAGGCTGGCCGAGCCTACCACAAGTATAAGGCAAAGAGGAACTGCTGGCCACGTGTGCGGGGTGTGGCCATGAACGTAAGTAGCCCAGAAAATGAATGAGTGATATTTGGGTACAGTGGCCTTGTGGTGGGTGGGTTACCTAGCCCTCTAGACATGTTAGCCTTCTACTCATGAGGTAGGGCCATCTGCAGTGGGAGAAGCACTGGGTGGTGGTTTTATAGCCTGACTTCTTGATCGGGTCCAAAGCAAGTAGGATAACCCGTTCTCACACCCATCTTTTTCTGCCTATAGCCTGTGGAGCATCCCTTTGGAGGTGGTAACCACCAGCACATCGGCAAACCTTCAACCATCCGCAGAGATGCCCCCGCAGGTCGCAAAGTGGGTCTCATTGCTGCTCGCCGGACTGGGCGACTCCGTGGAACCAAGACTGTGCAGGAGAAAGAGAACTAGAGCTGAGTGGCTCAATAAAGTTTGTCTTTGGACTGGCTGGCAACATCTTTACTCAAATGATGGGGAAGTTCTGACCTCAGTTATTTGTGCAGTTGCTGGCTGGGGTATTCAGCCACAGGTGCCAACATACTGGGGTCTGCTTTGCCAAGGGATCCTGGGGTGTGGGAAGAATGATGTTGCCCTACCACTCACATTTCATGCATATTACCAAAAAGAGCTGGTTTTAGCTGCTGTATACTTGTTGCATTCCTTGGGTGTCAGGTTTCACTTCTGCAGTGGAAGGGTCTGAGTACCTTTCCCTCAGCTGGGCCTCATGCCCTACCACTGCTTTATCCTGCTGGTGGTGATCAGGTTGGGGCTGGCAGTTCTTGCTGTTATAAAGAAATCTGTTCCCAGGTGCCTCCCTGTACAGTAGCTGTGGTGACTTGGGAACAGAGATGTTTGCAGTTCTTATCTGTGGGTCCCAGATCACCTCAGACCTTGTATCTAGCTAGAGCCCTAGGCTGGATGGCAAAGAGTGGGTATATGGCCCTTCCTGCCCTGGAGCAGAGAAGACCACTAGGAATAAAAGCTCCAAACCTATAAATACATTGTTTGAGCAATTGGAGAGTGCAGGAGTGTTTGGGGCCTGACTTCTTTCTCTGATAGAGTGGTGAGTAGTAACAGGTTAGAAACATCAGGAAAGCAACCTGCAGATAGGCTAGTTCCCACTTGAAGGCAAAACAGGAAGGCTTGTTTGGTTTCTCCATATCCTGGTGTTTATTGATCACATGCTGAGCAGCATCAATTATCAAACCTGGCAGCCCCCTTCCACCAGCTGGAATCAGATTGCTGATGACATTGTTACTCCCTGGTCATCTCAAGTTGGTTTAGCTATGTGGCTGTGGGCAGGGTCCTTTCTATAGGGCCTTACTGTGGCTGCCAGTGCCTTTTAACTAGTGTGAAGCCTTACCCACTTGTCTTGCTTTAACTGATCTGAGTACCACCTGCCCCTGAGTACCCACCCTACTTGCCCAGGTAGAGACCTCATCTTTTCACAGGTGGCCCAAGGCTCCTGAGTTGCAGGTAAGGCATTTTCTTCTTATGGGGGGGATGGGTACCATGGTTTGAATGCATCCTGGCACTTGCAAGACAGCACCACTGAGCTAAATCCCTGGCCCAAGGTAAAGGCATTTTCTGAAGGATGGAGGGTCATCTGAAAAGAAGGTGTTGGAAAATCAGTGGGTATGGTTGCTTTGCCAAAAGCTACTTTTCCAGCTCCTTCAGCAAAGTGGACCCTGGGCCAATGGACAACTGGGTAGGGAGGGTTTGTGCCAGAAGCAGGAAGTCCCTGTTCACTTTTTTGGGGCCGTACAGGGGATCGAACTTGGGTTCCTCTACTTGTGGGACGGTGAGACCACTGATCTAAATCCCCAGCCCTCTCCATTTGCATGCTGGGCCCCATATACAAAAGTTAGGGGTGAAGTCAATGGGCTAATCACGGAAGCAGGCCGACTGCTTTTCTATGTCGTGATTCTTTTGTGATTTTCCTGGTTCACTAAAAGAGTTTGTCAGAAAAGGTATTAGCCGGCACGTGGCCCATTTCTGTAATCCCAGCACTCTAGGAGGTGCAAATTTAACAGGAGATTTAAGAGATCCTGACTCAAGGGGGTGGGGAAAGCGATACACCTGACTGCAAAGGTCCTAAATTCAATCCCCAGTACTGCATAAAAGAATTCGTTTAAGCTGATGGCTATTGACTTGGTCACAAATATTCTGGCCACCACCTCGGTTTTGGGACCTGTCTTCCACCCCCGCACAGTTCCTCCAATACAACATTCACAGAGCTGGGTAACGAGACGCTGTGCCCTAACTTCCCAGAGCGGTGCCTTTGGCCTGCATGGGGGCGGGTTTGGGGGCGTCACTTCCGTCTTAGTCTTGATTGGCGGCTAATGGGGCCGGGTCGCAAGTCTTAGACTGCGTCTGCGGCACTGAGGTGAGTGACCTCCGTCGCGTGTGTATCCTGAGGGTGACCTTCCCGGTTATCCGGTACTCCTGTGGCTGCGGGCTGGAGTCGGTCTGGTCCGGCACCCCAGAGACCCTGATAGGTTCCATCCTCCGGTGTTTCCCCTCCTGTTCACCCGCCCGGTTAGTTCCCCTCACTGTATCCCTCAGGTTGGGCGTGCGCCTGATCACACTCAGGTCAGCTCCGGCGTCAGGGATTCCCTGATCTCTTACTCCATACAAACCCTCCGCCCACCCCGGCCCCCTCCTTTCGACTCTCCTGCACACATCTCTCCTCCACGCACCGTCCATTCCTGCTCTCTCCCTTTTCCTCTCCCGTTCTCCCCTCTCAATCCCTTGGATCGCTCCCCCTCACGCATATACCCATCCTGTTTTCTCCTGGCTCTCCAAAGCTTTTCTCCCCATGCAGCCGAATATTTAATTCTCATTTTTCATCTGAAGCGTTTATAGTTGCCTCTATTGTTTTGTGTTTTTTAATCCATATTTTAAAGTACTTTTTAAGAAATTTTAAAATAAATGCAAGTACAGAAAATGAAACACCAGGGCTGGGGATTTAGCTCAGCGGTTTGGTGGCCTGCCTTGCAAGTGCAAAGATCCGAGTTCAATCCCCGGTACAAAAAAAAAAAAAAAAAAAAAGAAACACCAATATCACAGCGACTGTGATTGTTAGTTCTCATTTTGCCAAATTTGTTCAGGCCTTTTTTTTTTTTTTTTAAAGAATGCATTATTAAAGTAAAACTACACTTAGATACATCTGGGACCTCCCTATTCTGACCAATATCTTTTCAGCCCAGTGTCTTTCCTTTCTGTACACACCTACATCTCACAGTGTTACTTAACTTTGCAACGTTGTGCTACTTGACATTGATATAGTTCATTTCTTTTTTTTTCTTTTTGGTACTGGGGATTGAACTCAGGACCTTGTGGTTGAGAGGCAGGCGGCCAAACCACTGAGCTAAATCCCCAGTCCTAGTTCATTTCTTTTTTGTTTTTTGAGACAGGGTTTTGCTATGTATCCCAGGCTGGTCTTGAATTCAAGATCTTCCTGCCTTAGCCTCCCAAATGCTGGGATTACAGGAGTGTACCATCATGTCTGGCCTAATATAGTTTGTTTCTTTTAACCTCTGGCCTTGTCGATTGCAGCTGCTACAGGGATTTTGTCTTGTACACAACATGTGCATTAGCAGGATTTTCTTTGGAACACATACTGAAAATTAGGTCTGACAGGGGCTTGCATGATTTTAGCTCTACCATGTAGTGTGAGACATTTCCAGAACTCTATCAGTTTACACTCCTCATTTCCACAGTATTTGCTATTATGAAACATATTTCCCCAACCTCCAGGAAAGAGATTGTGTTTTGTTTCTGTGATTCTTTATGCCTTTTCCTTAAACTTAAAAAATATATTCTGTGTATTTATCTTGTTACATTTGCTTGCAAATGTCTATTTACCTTGCAGCTTGTCCTTTAATCCCACCCCACCCCCGCCCCCAAGGAGTAAAGATCTATTTTAGCTCATGTTTTCAGAGGTTTCAGTCCATGGTGAGGCAGAACAACAGAGCAGGGAGTGAGTGCATGGTAGAGCAAGGCTGCTCACTTCATGGCAACCAGGATGCAGAGAGAACTTGTCTTTTATTTGTTTATTTATGTTTTTGGTTCCTGGGGATTGAACTCAAACCTAGTGCTTGTGAGGCAGGTGGTGGAACCACTGAGCTAAATCCCTGGCCCTGAGAAAATCTGTCTTTTAATTTCATGGTGTCTTGTACAGAAGGTTTTTTTGGTTGGAGCCACAGTCTTTGCCTGCGTAGTCTTTAAAAAACATTTAAGTACCATAGAAGGCAGAGATCTAATTTTATTTGTCTATGAAAAAACAGTTGTGCTGCTGGGGGTGGTAATCCTATAATCCCAGCACTCAGGAGGCTGAGGCAGGAGGATTAAGGGGAATTTGAGGCCATGCTAAGCTGCACAGTGAGACCCTCTCTTAAAAATAAATTAAAACAAACAACAACAAAAGAAACCAGTTGTGCCAACTCCAATTATTGAGTATTATATCTTCCTCCATTGTAATATATGTGTGGATCTCTTCCAATATCTTTTCCCTGTGTTTCCACTTTTTTTTTTTTTTAGGCAGGATCTTACTCTGTGTCACTAACCTGCCCAGTCTGGACTCAAACTTGTGATCCTCCTACCTCAGCTTCCTAGGGTGTTGGAATTATAGGTGTGTGCCACCATGCCCAGCTTCGTTCTTTGGTTCTTTTTGGCATTGCCTTGGCTAATCCTGGACGATTGTTCTATAATATGATATTTAGAGTCATTTTGGTCCCATTTCATGTTTTGTTGAACTTTTTAGTGTAATTACACAGAATAGATTTAAGGAGACTTGGGATTTTTATTACATTGAGTCCTATTTATTTTTTGTTTTGTTTTGTTTTGTTATGTTTTTTGTGTTTTGAGACAGGGTCTCACTATGTTGTTGAGACTGAACTGGAACTCACTATGTAGCCTAGGATGGTCTCGAACTCACAGCGATCCTCCTGCCTCAGCCTCCCGAGTGCTGGGATTACAGGCGTGCGCCACCACGCCCGGCTAATTATTTTATTTTTTTGAGACAGGGTTTCACTGTGTATTTCATGCTGGCCTTGAACTTGTGGCAATCCTCCTGCCTCAGTCTGGTGTGCTGAGATTACAGGTATGTACCCCTATGCCCAGCTTTGATTTTTCCATAGGCTTTTTAAGGCCCTTCAATAAAGTTAGGATTTTTCTCCACAGAGTTCTTTTTCTTTTCTTGAGACACAGGTCTTATTGTGTTGCCCAGGTTGGTTTTAAATTCCTGGGCTCAAGTGATCTTCCTGCCTCAGCTTCCTGAGTAGCTGGGATTATGGGTATGTACCAGTATGCCTGGCTATACATATCTTTTTGATAGACTGTTTTAGTTACTGAATGGTCTTTGATGCTGTTGTAAATGTCAGTTTCAGGTTTCTGATTGCTAGTAAATAAGCGTGCTATTAATTTATCTGACTCTGTATATGGTGATGCTGTTAATTCTTATTTGAACCCTAGATTAATACTCTAATTTCCCATATAATTTATTCTCTAGAATTAAAATTACTTTGACATTTCATGATATTTAATAATATTAAATAATATTTTGTTCTCAAATAATGGCTTTTTTTTTTCCTTTGGTTTTTTTGAGACAGGGTCTCACTATGTAGTTGAGACTGACCTGGAACTCACTATGTAGCCCAGGTTGGTCTCGAACTCACAGCGATCCTCCTGCCTCAGCCTCCTGGGTGCTGGGATTACAGGTGTGCGCCACCCTACCTGGCTTTGATTTTTTTTTTTAATAATGACATTTTGGTCTTTTCTTTTTCAATCCTTTTTTCTTTTTTTGTTTTTTTCTTCCAGTTCTGTGGATCAAACTCAGGACCTTGTACTTATGAGGCAGGTGCAGCACCACTGAGCTACATCCTTAGCCCTTTTTTTCCAATCACACACACAAAACATGTACCAGAAAGTTTCAGCAAACTCCTGTATTTCAGGCTGCTTGGTGCTGCCATAAGCAGCCCTACCTGCAGCCTAGGGCTCAAGTCCAGACCTTCTTCCCCTGCCCACACTGACATCCTCTCAGCGCCCTGCCCCTCTCCTTGGTACACTAAAAGTTGTCTCATTCAGGACAAGAACAATCCTTATTCACTTTATGTAAAGACAAAACATTAAGGGCTACAAAATATAAAAATTTCTAAAATGACAATAGAAGCCATAGCACAAAGGTAGTGTATAGACTATAGCAAATACAAAGTGAGAAGTCCAAGTAGATGAATAAGTAAGAAGTAAAATTAAATTCTCTAGAGGCACAAGAATCTCCAGTTAGTTAATTGTGCCTATTTGCCTTAAAGTAATGCAGGAATGCTGAATATAGTAAAGAGGTTCTAACTAAACACAAACTAAAATAAAATTGTTGCCATAGACCTTTTCTTTACTCTTTATTTTTGTTTCTTTTCGTACTGGGGATCAAACTCAGATCCTTGCGCTTGCCAGGCAGGCAGTGGAACCACTGAGCTAAATCCCCAGCCCTGACCTTTTCTTTAAAGGTAAGGGTGTGTGTGTGTGTGTGTGTGTGTGTGTGTGTGTGTGTGTGTGTGTGTGTGTGTGTGTGTGGGTGTGTGTGTGTGTGTGTGTGTGTGTGTGTGTGTGTGTGTGTGTGTGTGTGTGTGTGTGTGTTTTACTGGGGATTAAACTCGAGGTCTTCACATTGCTCTATATCCTCGGGGCTTTTTTTATTTTTTATTTTGTTTGAGACTAGGTTTCACTAAGTCACTTAGTTGGAACTTGTAATCTTCCTTTCTCAGTCTCCTGAGCGCTGTGATTACAGGTACTACCACACCCAACTTCCAAGTGTTCCTTTCTCTTCCCTCAGCACCTCAGTGACGGGCTCCTGTGCACTCCCCTCAGGAAGCCCAGGGCACAAGTGATGGCAGCCTTGTTTCCATCTGCCGCATTCCAGGTGAGTATCTGTTCTCTTTGCAGTATGAAGTTTGTTTCAACCAGTGCTTTCCTTGGCAAACACTGTCAGATATCTTTTCTTTTCCAATCCTGTTTTTCTTTCTTTTTTTTTCTTCCAGTAATGGGGATCAAACTCAGGACCTTGCACTTGTGACAGGGTGCTGACATCAGAGGAGGGATGTCCCTGGGGTTCCCCTGCTGTTGTCCTCAGCATGCTTCTGTTCCTTCTGCTCCCTGGTGCCCACACAGGGCCACCCCGGGGGCTGCAGCAGAGTCGTATTGTTCCAGGCCCAGGTGACCTTCGAGGACGTGGCCGTGCTGCTTTCTCAAGATGAGTGGGGGTATCTGGACCATGCTCAGAGGGGCCTCTACAGAGATGTAATGCTGGAGACCTACAGGAACCTGGTCTCTCTTGGTAAGGCTCCTGAGCAGGCTTTAGTGTGGGAATGACTTGGGCTTGTGAGCTCAGTAGTAGTTGGATTGGAGCCTCACTCTTTAGGCCCACAGATGGCAATGCTACCCTGGCAGGCCCAGTCTTAGAAGACGGTGGGTGGTTCAGGGACCCTCCAGAGTTAGCTCATCCTTTCTCTGACCTTCTGCCTTGGGCTGAGGCAGACCCTTTTTTGAAGAGCTTGGCTTCTGATGCATAATCTCTGGAGTTCTGTTCCTGGTCTCATACTTCCATCTTCATGACAGCCTCCAGCCTACTTCTAGCCCCTCCAGAGTATACAGGATTTCACATCCTCTGCCTGTCCTTCCTTCCCTTGCAGCCTCAGAGCAAGGTGGCATACAACACTTTTCTGTATCTTTGGTACCAACCCCAGGCTCTATCTCCTTCCCAGGAGCAGGATCTGCAGGTCCCAAGCCTGGGGTGATCTTGCAGCTGGAGCGAGGGGATGAGCCATGGGTCCTGAACACGAAGGAAGCTGAGGGGAGAAGGCATCTGAGAGTCAGCAGCTCAGGTGCGTGAGGGAAGCTGCTCCCCCAATTCAGTCACTAAATGAGCATTTGTTGGGGGTCATGGTGTCTGGTTAATGGTTCAGAAATTGTAGCAGGATTAGATGGGCCAACCTGGACTGTGGCCTCCGCTCACTGTGGCCATGGTCGACTTGGTCAACTTTGGTGCGTTGGCAGGAGATCTTGAGCAGAAGCTTCTAGGAAGACTGTGGGGGCAGTGTTGCAGAGGATGGAAGGGCATTTCAGGCAGTGCTAGTCTAAAAGTGTGGTGCATGGGTGCAGGCCAGGGTCCTGTTAGGACCTGGGGGACCCCACAGAATCCTGTCCTCAGGGCTGTCCTACAAGGAGGGTCTAGCAAGGACATGTGTGATGGACACCATCACTTCATTCCCCTGCATTTTTTCTTTTTCTTTTTTGAGACAGGGTCTTGATATTAGTTCAGGCTTGTTTTGAACTCACTATGTAGGGCTGGCTGGCCTCAAACTCATGGCAGTCTCCCTGCCTCAGCCTCCCAAGTGATGAGATTATAGATGTGCACCACCATGCCCAGCTCCCTTGCTTTTTTTCTCACCTTTATCTCAATGAGCTCACTTCACAACTATAGGCCATTACAGAAAAATGGGAGAAGACAGATCACTGTGAATCTCACTGCCCAGACACAATTGTATTCTAGAATATTCCCTGCTGGGTGTGGTGGTAGATGCCTGTAATCCCAGGACTCAGAAGGCTGAGGCAGGGAGAATCACTATGAGTTTGAGGCTAACCTGGGGTACATAGTGAGTTCAAGACCGGCCTGGACTACATAGTGAGACTTCGTTTGTTTGTTTTTTTTAAATCCTGTTTTTCCCTTTTGGTGATGACTTTTCCACACCTGTGTATGAGCACCACTTTCTCTATGTGTGTGTATGTGTGTGTGTATGTACATATGTGTGTATGCTCTACCACTGAATTATATACTAGCACCAAAGACTGCTTCCTAATAGCAAAGACCTGTGTCCCCTGGTGTGCCACTGAATGGGATTTCACTTTTTTGCATTTGAGCTTTAGTCAGGCTTTCTGGGGAAGTGCTGACCAGGAGGTTCCATCTTCCTTTGCTGCCATGGAGATCTGTAATGATTATGCTTTTGCTTGTGTCTGCTGTTGTCCCAGGAATGAGCTGCTGGCTCAACGGACTTGTTTTCTTTTTATAAATTTGCTTTTTTTTTTAGCAAAAAAACAGTGGCAAAGTTTATCCAAGAAAGTAAAAATGAAGAGTAGAAGAGAAACTGGCTCTTCAGAGTGAGTAATAAAGGAAAAAGAAGATAAAAGAACCCCCTGGAGAAGGCAGGGAGGGCTATCATGAGGAAAAGCGACAATAGCCTAATTTGCTTATTTGAATATACTTATAGAGATGGGATAAGCCCTCAATGAATTTTTATGAAAAACCATCATCCAGGTCAAAATATAGATTATGTCCAGGTCCTGCGAGCCCCTGGGCCTATGTCATTTTTCATAACTCCCTACACAAGTCACAAGAGGCTGCTTTGCTATTCTGGTCTATCTGGATTCATGCAGAGGATCTTCTGCTGAGCCTCATGAGAGGTACTCATGTTTCAAACAGCAGCAGTTCAGTCTGTTTTATTGCCAGTGTTCTATCATATGATTATGCCAGAATTCATTTTCCCTTCAACTTGGGGAGGGTAATTTGGTTGTTCCTAGTTTGGGGGTCTTGTGCACATCTCTTTCTGGCACATAAGAACCATGTTTCTGGTGGGTGTGTACCTGGGAGTGGAATTTCTGGTTTACAAGCGATGCACAGATCCGCTTTAGGTAATGCTGCCAAACTGTGTTCCAAAGTAGCATCTGTGTGCATTCCTGCAGCAGTGGGTGAGCCCACTAGTTGTTGTCTTGCAGGCACACATTGAGCTGCTATGGATATGCAGTTTGGATGCTGGGCAGGTGTGGAAGGCAGGCCTCTCAGGACTGAGAAGGGATAATGAAAGTGGCCATCACAAGCCATTTGCATCTGAGACTCACTGTTGGGCATTGGGCTCAGTGTTTGGTGGTCAATCCATTGCTTAACGCCATATTAACACTTGTGAGAATGCTGAATGGTAGCATATCCTGCTTTTCAGATGGGGAAACTGAGGCTGAAGGGTGAGTGAGTTGTCTTGGATCATTCATCTAGCAAGCGGCAGCCAAAACTGATCAATCCTGAGTGTGACTGCAGTCTCTGGAAGGGTGTCATGGCAGGACCCTGCTTGGGTGCTTATCCATATCCACTTTTGGAGAGTGGCCACCTAGGAGAGCTCAAAGTGTATTGGGAAAGGAGGAAAGAAGGGATAGAGGTTTGAAGGCATCAGAGAGCCTTCCATGTAGACATCTTAAGGTAGTCTGAGACCTCCAGAGAGAGCCCCAGGAGTGGATGTGACCTGCTAAAGAGAGCCAAGGGGCTAGTCTGCATGTGCTATGTCTTCCTTTCACAGGTTGGTACAAGCTTGGCCCTCTGCTCTCCCAGGGAGGCAGCTAATTTTTCTGCCATGGATTTTTGGGTTGCCTCAGACTCACTTGGCCTTAGTTTCTCTATTTATTATTGTCTGTGACTTTACCTCCTTGTTCTGGTTTCCATGTCTTTTAGGGACAGTGTCCTACAGTCTCACTATGAGTAAAGACTCATACTGCCACATGGCTGTGGCCCCGGGCAAGGTCTTAATTCTCTGAAGTTCAGGCTGCATCTTTGCAGGGCTCTTGTCTTTGGAGACGATTGACCTGGAGTCCCCAGGGGTCATCAGTATCATGTCTTCTTTCCAGGGTTAGAACAGGTGACCCTTGGGTGTTCCATTTGTTGTTTCAGCTCGTGGAACCAGGACTGAACACACAGAGTTGGCTTCAAAGGAGACATTTGGTGGGCAAGAACTTCATCAGCCCAAGGGGACTGTTCATCAGGAAATGGAGCCAGAAGACTGTGACTTTGCCAAGGAGCCAGAGAGGACCTTTGACAAGCTAGTGTGGCAGACAGGCCCTAGCCCAAGTATACTGACCAGTGAGGAGAGCAGCCAGAACACTGGGGGAAGTCTCAGATTGGGGTTAGGCCTTTTCCCCAATCAGAGACCTCACAAATGTGATACATGTGAGCAAAGTTTTGAGCAGAGATCGTATCTTAACAACCATAAGCGTGTGCACAGGTCAAAAAAAACAAATACCATTCATGATCCTGGGGAGTTCTTTAAGGCAACCTTAGTTGTTAGGGAAGATCAAACACTTCCTACTGGGAAAAGATTGCATTATTGTGGCCACTGTGGGAAGACATTCAGGTATAGTGCTAACCTCATCAAGCATCAGCGGCTTCACAGTGAAGAGAAGCCCTACAAGTGTGGTGAATGTGGGAAAGCCTTCAGCCAGAGCTGCGAGTTCATCAACCACCGGAGGATGCACTCTGGTGAGATTCCCTACAGGTGTGGGGAGTGTGGCAAGACATTCAATCAGAGGCCCAACCTCATGAAGCATCAAAGGATTCACACTGGAGAAAAACCCTATAAGTGTGCTGAGTGTGGTAAACACTTTAGTGCCTACTCTTCTCTCATTTATCACCAGAGAATACACACTGGAGAGAAACCCTACAAATGTAATGACTGTGGAAAAGCCTTCAGTGATGGTTCTATCCTTATTCGACATCGACGGACTCACACTGGAGAGAAGCCATTTGAGTGTAAAGAATGTGGCAAAGGCTTTACCCAGAGTTCCAACCTTATCCAACATCAGAGAATTCACACTGGAGAAAAACCCTACAAATGTAATGAATGTGAGAAAGCCTTCATCCAGAAAACCAAACTTGTTGAACACCAGAGAAGCCACACTGGAGAAAAGCCCTACGAGTGTCATGACTGTGGCAAAGTCTTCAGCCAAAGTACACACCTCATCCAGCACCAGCGGATCCACACGGGAGAGAAGCCCTACAAGTGCAGTGAGTGTGGGAAGGCCTTCCACAACAGCTCTAGGCTTATTCACCATCAGCGCTCACATCATGGAGAAAAGCCCTACAAATGTAATGATTGCAAGAAAGCCTTCAGCCAGAGTACTTATCTGGTTCAACACCGGAGGATCCACACTGGAGAGAAGCCCTACAAGTGCAGTGAGTGTGGGAAGGCCTTTCGACACAGTTCCAACATGTGTCAGCACCAGAGGATTCACCTTCGGAAAGACTTCTCACCATGAGAGTGGAAGAGCATCTGTGAGGGCAGAGTCCTGGTGTGCATGTCCTCACGTGCCCTACGACTGTTGACCCTATTTCCACAGGGTGAAGCAGTATTTCCGTCTGATTAAAGCAACCTCTTTTCTTAAACCAAAGGGAGTGCATATTTTTAAAGAAACAAAACTGCACCAAAAAGAGACTCCTGTAGTCTCCCCCACTTAGGAAAAGAGGATTCATGTTGCTGATTTAGAACTTTTCCTTCCAGAAACACTGGAGAGCGTTTAGGAAGAAAACACTGCCAGTAGTGGTGTTATCTGTAGTCCCTGCACTTGGGAGGCTAAGGCAGGAAGATTGCTTGAATTCAGAAGTTCAAGACCAGCCTGAATGACACTGAGCTTTTGTGTCAAAGAAACAAAAAAGGAAAAGGAAAACTCTTATTCATGTCATTGCAATACCTAATACCTTCACCTTTGCTATTTCTTTAGTGCCAAAAATTCCATACAGAACTCCACACATGGCTATATTTTTTTTTACATATTGTAAATGAAATTACTATTATGTCATTCATACTTTTCCATGTCACTTAACAGAGTTGGTATTGCTTTTTTTATTGTGGTAAAATACATATATACAATTTTTTCATTTTACCTTTTTTTTTTTTGAGACAGGGTCTCACTATGTAGTTGAGACTGACCTGGAACTCACTATGTAGCCCAGGCTGGTCTCAGAGTCTCAGCAATCCTCCCGCCTCAGCCTTCCACATACTGGGATTACAGGTGTGCACCACCACACCCAGCTCCCCGTTTTACCCATTTTAAAATGTACAGCTTGGTGCCACATTAATACATTAATAGTGTCATAACCATCACCACTCATTCCAGAACTATTTTATTATCTCAAACAGAAACTCTGTAACTATTAAATAGGTCTCCCATTTACTCTTGTGTCCCAGATGCTGGTAACCTTTGCCTATTTTGAATCATATAGTGTATTTCCTTTTATGTCTAACTTAGTTCATTTAGTGCAGTGTTTTTGAGGTTTGATCATGTTACAGTCTGTATCAGAATTTCACTCCTCTTCTTGGATGAGTAATCTACTGTGTGTATATTTTATCCACTCATCTGTTGCTGGACGCTTTGGTGTTTTTACCTTTAAAACTATTGTGAATAATGTTGGTATGAATGTCAGTGTACAAGTATGTATTTGAGTTCTGTCTTTAAGCACTTTTCGGTAAGTGAAGAGTAAAATCATTGAATCATATAGTAATTATTTAACTTTCTGAAGAGTAGCCCACCTTTTCCATAGCAGCTGTATTTCTTTAAATCCACCAGAAGTATACAAGGGCTCAATTTTTCTACATTCTCCCCAGTATGTTACTTTTTTTGATAATAGGCATCCTAATAGGTATGAAGTGATATTGTAGTTTTGATTTGCATTTCAAATGAACAGCAAATGATGATGTTGAATATATTTTCAGGTTTTTCTTGACCATTTTTATATATTATTTGGAAAAAATGTCTATTTGAAACCTTTGATTTTTCTTTTTTTTTTCTTTTTCTCTTTTGTACTGGGGATTAAACTAAGCCATTTATACTGAGCTATATCCTTGGCCCCTTCTTTTTTTTCTTATTAAATATTTTATTTTATGTTTTTATTTTTTGATACCAGAGATCGAACTTAGGACCTTGCACTTACAAGGCAGGCAGCAGAACCACTGAGCTAAATCTCTGGCCCTAAATTTTTCATTTTAAAACAGGATGTCACTAAGCTACATTGCTCAGGCTAGGCTTGAATATATGCTTTTCCTATTTCAACCTCTCAAAGTGCTAGGATCACATGCATGTGCCACCATACCTAGCTCAAATTTCAGAATGATAAAAGGCTGAAGAAATTTTTGAACAGCAAAATATTCATGTTGCTGATTACTTTGGTTTATACTTGGACTTGGAGGCAAAGGGAAGCAGAATGGAAAGATTTAAGAATTCACGGCCTAGCCAGGAAACAATTTTTTAAAAATTAAAAAAACACTAAAGGATGTGGCCCAACAATCTCTGTGAAAGAGACTATTATGGGTAGAAGAAAAACAGGCCCCTCAGCATTAGGACAAAGGGAAAGACAGCTCCTGGGCATTTCAGAAGTATGCAGGTCCATTTTTCCTTTCATAGGGCCACAGGCCTGGAAGACTGAATGGTTTGCGGAACAGGACTGGGACAGTCTGCATAGGCTCACTGCCCAGGGCTGCCTTGGGATTCGGATTCCTGCTTTCTGGTGAAATATTTTGTGGCTGCTCTGTGGCTTAGTTGGGGCTACAGTATGTCTTATGTCGCAACTCTACAGGGAGCAATCAAGAGACCTCGGTGCATCTAGATGGTGTTGATTGGGCTAGCATGCAGAAAAAAGAGGTATATGGACATAGTATTTCTACTGAGATGTTGAAGGCTGGGGAGGCCAGGCAGAGGCTTGTGTTGTAGGGTGAAGCTGCTGCAGAGACTCTCCACAAAAATACCTGGTTGAGCCATGGGAGTAGGACTGTTGCTCTTGAGACCCCAAAGAGATAAATTACTTTTTTTTTTTTTTTTGGTACTGGGGATTGAACTCAGGTCTTTGCACTTGTAAGGCAGGCATGGTGTCACTGAGCAAAATCCCCAGCCCCCAAAGAGATAAACTCATTGACAGCATGCAAAACCAATCAGGGAAAGCCAAAGCCACTGGGCCCCAATGTGGGAGAGCTGTGACCAGCAAATTTTTGCACACAGGACTGCTTGAGGCCTTGGGCATCCAACCCTAACCTAGTATGAATAGGATGCCTGATTTGGACTTTTAAGATTTAATGTTTTCCCTCCTGAACTTTGATCTTGGTGGGATCCTGTGACTCTTTCAGTTGGCACACATCTAGAAATGTTTACCCTGTCTTCATTCTTTATTTCCCTATCGTATCTTGGAAATGTGTGATTTGTTTTTGTTTTTTGAGTTTATTGGTACTTTTTTTTTGGTTTTTGAGACAGGGTCTCACTATGTAGTTGAGACTGACCTGGAACTTACTATGTAGCCCAGGCTGGTCTCGAACTCACAGTGATCCTCCTGCCTCAGCCTCCCAAGTGCTGGGATTACAGGCGTGTACCACCATGCCCGGCCTATTGGTACTTTTAAAGTATACAGTACAATTACATTCATCATTGGGATCTTGTACCTTTACATGACAGATCTTGCTTCTCATTTTTTCCCCATACCCCTGCCCTCCCTTCACCCCCTCAGTCTATTTTTGATTTTACAGGCTCACAGCTGGAAGAAGTCTGTCTTGAGTCTCAAATGAGACTTTGGACTTGGACTTTTTTTTTTTTTTTTTTGGTACCAGGGATTGAACTCAGGTCCTTGCACTAGTGAGGCAGGTGGTGGAACCACTAAGCTAAATCCCTGGCCCTGGACTTGGACTTTTGAGCAGTGCTGGGATGAGTTAAAACCTTGGGACTAATGGGGTTGGGACTAATGGGGATGGAATGATTTTATTTTGCATTATAAGGCCATGAACCTTGGGGGCCAGGAGAAATGCTAGGATTTTATGTTGGAAGCCCAGTGCACAGTGTATAAATATTGAGGAGCTAGAACCTTTAATAGGAAGGGTTTAGTGGAAGGTGATTAGGCCAAAGGGATACTGCCCTTGAAAGGTTTTAATACAGGTCTTGTGGGACTGGATCAGTTCTCCTGAGAATTAATTATTTATAAGGGAGTCTGGTATGTCACCTGAATCCTGCATGTGCTCCTGCCACTGTGATGCCATCTGCCATTTGGACCTTACCAGAGCTAAGAAGTAGGTTGGTACCATGCTTTTGAATCTCCAGAACTGAGAGTGAATAAATCTCTTTTTTTAAAGTACCCAGCTTTAAGTGTTCTGTTGTAGAAACCCAAAATGAACTAACCCACAGCCACATTATTTTGATTATTATAGCTTTGTAATAAGTTTCAAAATCAGCAAGGGTGAGTCCTCCAACTTTCTTTTTCAGGATTGTTTTAGCTGTTTAAGTTCCCTACAGATTTCATATGAAGTGAGGATGGATTTTGTATCTGCCAAAAAAAAAAAAAAAAAAAAAAAGTCATTGGACAGTGTCAGACTTGACCTGGTTGTGAAATGGTTAATAAATATGCTTTTTGATTCCAACCTACACTTTGACAAAACAAAACAAAACAAACACCCCAAAACAAAAAAAACTGCAACAAAGCAGGCAGCCGATGCAGGAACTGTCTCCATGCAACAAAAGCCACACTATCTTGGAGCATATAGAATACAGAACACAGGATGGGATATATAGAGAGATAAGAACTACAAAGTACAGCATATTTTCAATGCCAGGTCACCTGAAAATATCCATATATCTTCCTTGATTGCTGCACAGACTCCAACCACAAATACTTGCTCTGAGCACAGTACATGATAGACATGCCAAACCTCTCTTCCAAAGTCCTATAAAGCTTTCTGACTTTTCCTTGTTCAGGGCTGCTGGCCTATTGCTTGTGGTCAGTCCACCTCTGCCCAGGTGAATAAAGTCTGTACTCTATACTTTAAAAGTACCAATAGCTTGCCCAGGTGGTCTCATCCCTCTGCACCATTTGTTACAGATAGTATTATCACTTAACAATAGTAAGTCTTCCAGTATGTGAGCACAAAGTGTTTCTATTTATTCATGTGTTCTTTAACTTCTTTCAGTGACTTTTTGTAGCTTCCAGCAAGGGAATTTTTTGCCTATTCCTATTTTATTCATTTTAAAGCTATTGTGAATGGAATTATTTTTTTAATTTTCTATTTGGATTGTTCATTAATAATGTACAGGAATGATCTTTGTATTTTGACTTTATATCCTGAAACTTTGCAGAATTCATATGTTAGCTCTTACAGGTTTCTTTTAGTGTGTGTGTGCACGATCTTTAGGGTTCTCTGCATGTAAGATCACACCATCTGTGACTTGAGATAATTTTACTTCCATCCCAATTTGGATGCCTTGTATTTCTTTTCCATGCTCATCTTTTCTAATTAGAACTTCCACTACTGTGTTGAATAGAAGTAGCAAAAATGGGTATCCTTTGTTGTGGATTTTTTTTATTGTTGTTGATTTTTGAGACAGGGTCTCACTTTATAAATTATGCTTTCAGTTGGGGAGGGCTCAGGGGAGAGCAAGTAGAATCTTACAGAAGCAGAACCATGCCAGGTTCTCATCTACGGGAGGAAGTGAGTTAGACCTGGCCATAGCGATCTACAGTGCAGTGCTCCCAGCAGAGGAGCACTGGGTCTCTCCTTGTAGTACAGGCTGGCCCTGAACTCACTGTGCAGCCCAGGCTAGCCTCGAACTCATGGCAATCCTCCTACCTCAGCCTCCTGAGTGCTGGAATTTTAGGCATGCACCACCGCACCTGGCTCAGCATGTTGTATTTTCATTATTATTTGTCACTAGGTATTTTCTGCATTCCTTTGTCATGTCTTCTTTAACTCATGCATTATATGAGTATGTTTTAATTTTTCAGTTCCCCTCCTATTATTAATTTCTAACCTTATTGCAGTCTGATTAAAAAAAAAGATACTTTAGGGCTGGGAATTTAGCTCGGTGCCATGCCTGCCTGGCAAGTACAAGGTCCTGAGTTTGAGTCCCAGTACTGAATATATATATGAATATA